GTCAGAGGTGCTTCGACCGGGCCGGAAGCCACACTGCTCTTCTTGAATCTTGAAGTCAACTATTTCACGGTACCTCTTTTCTAACACCTTTGCATAGACTTTACCTGGGAGGCTTAGTAACGTCACGCCTCTATAATTGGAGCATTCCTTGTGGTTTCCCTTCTTGAATACGGGTACAATCGATCATCTGCCAACGAAATGGTAACTCATCGACCATTTCCTGTTTTTGAAACGTGTCCGTTTAAGCAGGAAACGTGTTCTACATCTCACCAAGAATTGAGTGTCAGGGTTACCATAAATGCTGGAAGCATATAGAACATTGTGAGCTAGGTAGCGTGAGGTTTGAATTTAGAAGTCGAACATTCCTTCCGTGCCATTCATCTGTTGAACCACTTATTTGATCAGTTTATTCAAACCTTCATTCAGTCACTCACCCATTCGTTCATTCATTGTATAGTTCATTCATCGATTCATTCAATCAACCAATCATTCCTTTTCTTCGATCCGTCATTCCTTTGTTCTTTCTTTCTTTGTTGTTATTTTACTCATTTGTTATATGACCTATTTGTCCCCTCATTCATTCTTTCATTCATTTTTTGGTTTACTCACTCGTCGATTCATTCCTTCAAGCAATTAATCACTGCCAACATTTCGTCATTCATTTATTCTTTCATTTTTTACCGTGTTTCTCCTTTCATTCAGTCAGTTATTCATTCATTCCATCATTAATTCAAGATTCTTTCCTTCGCTGATTCTGTTTATTTATTTCCAAAAATTAAGTATTCCTTATGAATTGTACGCAACAAATTTCAAGCTAGGTGATTCAAGGCACCAAGCAAAGCAGTCCGTAAAAATGTTGTAAGGATGCTCGTGACAAGGCCAGCAACAGGCCGCCTCATTAACACTAAACAAAACGACAGAACGCGGAAAACTGCACCAAAACAGAACCTAACTCACAACAGCTAGCACTAGAAAAGGGGGGGCCGACAGACTTGAATTACTCACTACTCTCCTTAGTCCGGACGTTCCGACCAACTTTGCGATGGCGTCGCCACTTTTGCACATCACAGGGGAACGAGAGGCGGCGCTGATCGCAGATCCGTTGTTTCGGTGCCAAAACATGAACGAACTGCAGTTTCAGACGATCACAGAAACGCCAACCTTACTGAAGCACTACCCGTCTGACATGGAGTGTAGAGCAATGTCAGAACTGTCGGCCTGTTTTATCTGGACGTTCAACTTCCGATGTAGGTTCTATCGCATTATCGCACTGTTCGAGGTCGAGTGAGTTTGCAGAGGTCGTCCGGCGCCTGTCCAGATCTATCGCGTCAGTACGTTTTATATGAAACATAACGGAAAAAATATATAGTAAAATATGGCTGTGATATGAATCGAATATGGAGAAATGATCAACTGTAAATTCTATGCCTCTTTCTCCCTCAACTATATGATTACGTCATTAAAATTCGATCGATGTATAAAACATTTTATATTTGATTTTTATTCGGCAGATGATATCAATGCGAGGGCATTTCGTTCATCCGTCCGAGGCTTATCATTCGTTCTCGATGGCCAGCAAGTGCCGCTTTCATATGCAGCCAATATTCGTCGCCTACTGCACCCCGCTGCTGACACCCGCCAACGCCGAGCTGTTGGCCGTCGCAAATCCCACCGTCTTCTGTTCCGTGCATCATTTGGACATGCGCTTCATCCAGATAGATAAAATGTAAACTACGAGGTTGAGGGGAAATTTCTTGCCCTTTGTTTCAGAGGCGCCTACCACTTGCACGCGTCTGCAAGCCAGCTCGCCGGAACGTCATGGTACGACCTGGTGCATCCGTATGACATCGCCGAAGCCTCGTTCAAACATAAAATGTGTACGTTATGCAAACATGTTTTTATTGTGCATCATAGAGCGTCGTTTTGCATACGACTGCAGAATTGTTTGGAGTTTTCGTTTCATTGTTTATTGCTTAGAGGTATGCAAATCAATTTTGGGTCGAACTGTTGAAGACTTCAAGAGATTCGGACAAGCACTTAAAGCCTAAATCTTGCACCCTAAATTGATTTTTAAAATCATTATAAATTACACGAGACCTAACGTCTCTTAGGGGATGTATGACAGGTATTGTATACCGGACAGAAATTGAGCATTTTCAAATTCTACCGGAAAATTGTCTACTGTGAGAAACTATTACAAGTCCTTTATTGAAATCCATTTTTCATGCCAAAGTCTAGCAATAAATAAATACCCACTGTCGTTGCAGCTTTCATTTCTAAACTGGAAAAATGAAGGTTTTCGAATCTACTACAAAATGGGCGGTTAATCGGGATGCCTCAACGTAATTAACAACGGAGAGAGTCGAAGATGACAGTGGTTTATGAACTTGAGGAGAATGACCGCTACAAGATTTACGTCGGGAAAACCATCCGACGATTGGACAGAGGAATTGCAGAACATCTATCAGCTCTGAGAAATGGGAAAACGGACCATTTTGGCATCGTTTCACACGCTTTCTACTTCGGACACTCGTTTGGTTCAATGAATATCATTTTGTTGATCGTTTGGCCAACATGTTGGCTGACAAAGGCCGACTATATTATGAAGGTTTAGTCTCAGTGACAGCTGAAATATCCTCCACCAACTTGGTCAGAATCAGTGGGTTAAAGGGTGCAGTAACTCAAATGTTACGTAACGGTTTTTCATGAGATCGTACTATTTCTTTTGCGCATTATAAGCCAGATGACGGAGCTCAGGTGAGGAATGGAAACTTTTAATTATGGTGTGATACATGTTCGTTTTTAATAGTTGTCTTCAACCATAAATAAAAAGATGACGAACGTTGGCAAACCTCTATTATAAAAGGTATCAAAATTTTATATAGGATATAATATCGATACTACATTCTGAAACCCATTATGGCATGAGGAATATCACCATCTATTTATACTCGCGAGCACATTAATCCAGGCTTTTGGAAAGGTTAATACGCCGGATTTCTAGATCTCTTGCATTGAGTAAGGAATGATTTTCCGTCTCTTCCCGTACATCTTCTATCAAGCACTTCTCATTAATTCGACGTCTTGTCCACGAAGAGCCATCGTTCGTTAGGAAGGGCGTAAGCGCGGCCGGAAATAAGAAACCACACCTGTTTCGTGGAATAATACTGGAAATGGCTTCATCCTTTCATCATAATTTATAGTCATACTATCGTTCTTTCAACCTGAAACGGTTCGAAAGACACAATTAGTTCTGTCAACCCTCCGTCACATTTGAGTCGTAAGGCCGGCGGACATTGATCACTAACTATTCTCCATCGTAGGAACTCACAGGTGTCTCGTTTTCTGCGTCACTTAGGACAACACCATGTCTCGTGTTCAGATATCAAACAGTAAATGTCTGTTCAAGATTGAATATAGCAACGATGAATCAAGAATGAATTATGCAAGACATCACAAGGATAAATGAGGTAGTATTTTCTGTGATCCATGGTGTCCTAGCGAAAACACAACTGGCGCTTAGAAAAATCAGTTTATGGTGGAAGAACTGCCGCACGCGACGCTAGTGGGAACAACGACAAGTTTAAAAGCTAAACTCTCTAACCTTCGGTAGTGGATGAGAAGTCCAGTGATTTTCATGCAAGTCGTTTCGTCTTTCATGGTGTGTGACTGAAATAAAAAAATTAAATTAATGGTCATTCTGTAGCTATCCATACATTACTGAGGGATCAATACAGGCATATGAAAAGATCATTGCTGGGAAGTGTTAAGAAAGGATCAATTTAATCTCCGTAGCCGCTGGGATGTCGATATCCGTCGGACTTTCATGATCGACAAAATCTGCATAGCTGATCTTTCTTTCTATAGCAGCAGGTAGGAATGCTTCACTTATAAAAGGAGCATCTACAGCTAAGCAACTTCCTCTTCCTTTCGCATCACGTGACACTACGTTGCCACTTCGATGAAACGCGAGAGATCGGATCAGTGACCTGATTATGAGTCTGACATTCTACCAGTCGAGTAACCGCTGTGAGTTAAGAGCGGCGCGAGGGACAAGAGCAATTAAATAATACTAATTATTCAAATTGTGCTAATAGTTTGATAATCTTAATTTTATTCGATTCAAATGGACTTGCCATTCATTACTTAATTTACGGTAATATTATCAAGAGACGGTATTGGTTGAAAAAAAATAATAAAAAAATCTCGCCAAACTCATTAATGTTCTCTTTATAGTGTGCGAAGAAAAGGAAAACAGCAGCTTGATGCTGCTACGACTGCAAACGTTCCGCGGCGATTTCATATGGCTGCACTGTCTTCTGACGCTGAAAGACAACAGCCGTAACGTCGACGCGGCGAAAAGGGTGATCAATGCGGTTTGTCAGATTATAAGGTGTGCCTGTGCATTTTGAACAGTGACTCTATTTCATACGGTTCTCAGACGTGAGTCTGATGAAGCCACAACCTCAATGAGTTAAACGCTGCCCCTCATTGGTCCTCCTGACCAATGCTGTCCGTTCGCTTAATAAATCAATGTAAATTAATTCAATTTCGACATGAGCAATGACCGACACTACAACGTCGCTGTTTGCCGTTTGTCGTTGCTGTTACATCTGCCACGGTAACTGGATTAGCCGACTAGGGGAAAACGGTGACTTTCCGTGTCACCCCCGGATTTCCAGCTTTGTCAGTCACGCGCAGTGTCTGTCATGAAGCTCGGCGAATCTTTCTTTCGCCGTCTGTACCGGTGTTGCGAAGCAGCACAGTGTCTACGAGGTCGAGGTCTGTTTCGGAATGAGGAGGTGCCGAGTTCGATTGCACTCAGTGCAATCTTTGGCTTATGCACGCATGTCCCTGAGCAACGAATTTGCCATACACTGCTTCGAACCAGGGCTGTTCAGAACCGGTCGAGCTCGAGCCTCGATCGGCGTCACTCGCCCTGCCCTGCTTCATTCGGAGGTTGATAAATGAGTGCCACTCTGTGGGGAGGAAATAGGGGACTACGCGCCACGCTTCGCACATGCCTGTGTAGATTCGGCTTTTAGAACTGAGCACTCACGGCTGATGTCATAGAAACGGACGTCGGCACCTCACCATCAACTTCACGGAAAGAAGGGTGGGAATATGCTGCAGTCAGGAAAGTGAAGGAATATCGACATTCCAACGCAGAAGAACTTTCTTTCTGTCCTCGTACCCAAACGCTTCCGGCCCAGAGAGGGAACCTTAGCATGCCCTATTCTGTTTCCGATACCAGCCGGGGAACAGGGTGGCTTTGGCGTTTACTGTGATGGATGTGACATCGTCTGGCGGGTGTCTCAACACGTGCTCGAGCCCTCAACAGAGCTGGGTGAGGTTGCAACGAGGACGATTGTGACGTTAAATATATGACCGATAGACAAATGCTATGGATCAGCTGGTAGGGTAAAGTAAACTAGGCGGTAGGTTAGTTAATTATCAATACTTGACATCATCCAGGAACGGTCAGTTTACAAGACGGTGACGATTCAACGGTTAGAGATCTTTGCATTTTTGTTTATATTTTTCTTGAAGGAGGACACCTCTACTATGAGCCCTGATAGGACAGTTAAGACTGCATTTACCTCTTGCCAATGAGGCCAAGCTGAAACGTTTTCACAGTACGTTTTACCACATGAACATACAATGGCGGCTTATGTGGTAAACTGATGGATAAAATCATTGAACATATGAAATATCATCTTTCTGGAACTTGGGTGATGAAGGCAAAACATCCGATAGAGTAACGATGCCATAATCTGTATAACATTCGTAGTCATTCTTAACTGAGGATACCACTTATTAGTTTTTTAGAATAAGGTCATTGTTATCTCGTCAAGAAACATTCAAATCGGTAGATGATAAGAAAACGTTGCTCTGTTGAAAAGAAGGACATCAAATTTATGAGCTCCAGAAAACTTATTACCTGGAATTTTTGAGACAATGCAAATGGTACGGGGAGTGGCGGGTTCTCGCAATATTTCTTAATATCGTCCATCCGTCAAGCCTCAGTGGGACGGAGAGTCCTACAAATTAATTCACCATTTCTGATTCAGGGGGTAGCCGGCATGGTGATAAGATGTGTTTATGCTTTATTCAAAAATAATCGCCTACTGTTGACCCTGATCCCTGGATCTCTTTTTGTTGTCTTGATGTACTTTTGTGTCTATGCAAGATATGAACTCCGGATCAAGCTGTGTCCTCGGTCACCTGTTTCAGGCTTCGTACACAGTGCTGAAGAATTTAGTTCGTGGTATGCAAAGTCGCTGTCTGCAACAGAAATCATCCAGATAGCGCTTTGTACAGTGACAATGTGCAAAGGTTAAAAACGTTGTAGTCGAACGCTGAGTCTGGGGGGAGGTGGGGGTGTGAGCGAGTGTCTGCTGCGATGTGGGC